CGCGCCCCCAGCCGCTGGTCACCTGCCAGCGCGCAAACTCTATGAGCGACTTGTATTCCCCCAAAACCCCGAGCGCTACCATCAATGGCGGCCCGCGAAATGCCTTCGGAGGGTACTGCCGGAATTTAGTGTCCGACATCCCGGATATCAGGAGCCATAAGATGGCATCGGTTACTGCTGAGGATGCGCCTTCCTACAGTAACTACAATACGCTGCCCTGCAGGAAATCCCACTGCCTTTCCGAAGGGGCCACCAACCCACAAATTAGCCATAGTAACAGCATGCAAGGCAGAAGGGCGAAAACTACTCAGGTAAGGCAGTTTTCTTCTATGTAGAATGAAAGCATGTGGTATTTGCTAAGCTGTGTCTGTAGATAAAGATATTCCAGGTTCTTCCAGGCTCTGTTTTTCCTTCAACACCCCCTTTCCAAGAAGAGGGTTTTATCCAGGAGAGAGCTGAACTAACTGGTCTCCGGAGCTGGCTTGAGCCCATCACTGCTCCCTTCCTTATCTGCAAACTCTGTTGGGGCCTTTTCCACTCTTCACGGCCTCTGGAAAAGATAAATCTGCATTTGCCAGCTAAAGATTTTCCTGCGCATTTCGCAGTGCCGACGGTGCCTTTTTTCCAGGGTAGCTGCCAAAACCGATCACTCCACTCGGGGAGTTGGTTGTGTCTCTTCTCTCTGCCCTCCCTGCCCTGTCGCCCTCCCCTGGCTGCACATGTGCAAGCACTCCTTGGCTCTTGTGGCTGGAAGCAAAGGGGAAACCTGCAAGTGTTTCTCCTCCCCTCCATCATAAATACTTGCTGGACTGAAATTTCACTCTTCTAATTAGCCAACGTTCACATTTCTGCAAAACCTCACCCAGGAACAGTGCTTTCTCCTCGCAGGAGACTGCCAGTCGTGCAAGCTGTGGTGCTTACCTGCTGTAAACTGAAAAGTGATGGAGGATGTAGATGTATGGAGAGATGCAGCTTCTCCTAGCCAGGGAGGACATCACACTCTTCATCCTTCATCCTTTTAGCAGACAGCACAGAGCCAAGATGAGCATTTCTCTCTGGTGCCCCTCCCGCGCTGCAAACACCAGTGCTGTGACCTTTGCTTTGAGGGCTGCTGTTGGGTCTTTATTATGTTTTGCCTTGCTTTTCTTGGCCATGTTCTGCCTGATCGAGTTACACAGCACTGCCTTGTGCTGCAAACTGCAAGTCGGCTTACAGTAAGTGGCAGATTGCCCTTAGAGAGGGGGGAAAAGGAGCTACAAATCCTGCCCACCTGTACGAGCCACCTGCGGCACACACACGGTGGGCATACTGCACTCATTTTAAGTTCATTCTTCTGGCTTGCTGGACCTTCTCTGAGCAGTGGTCAAGCTGCCTAATGGAAGAGGCTGGCTGTGGTGTTTTTTACATGCACTATTTTCTCGCTGTGGGCACCCGCTCAGAAACGTGGCCGGGGGACGCAGACAGAACAGCCTGACGGCGCGGGTCTGAGCTGTGCGCCGCGTTGCATGCTTCAGCGGCTCCCCTGACGTTACTGCAGGGTTTCTCCTACATACACCGTGCGGCATACACACACTGCGCCGCGTGACCCAGAAAAAGAAGAAAAGCAGCGCGTTGCATCAAGGTCGGAGGCCGGCAGGCTCGTGTCCCGCTGCGGGCTGAGCTGTTGGCAGGACACCAGCGTTAGAGATAGCAAGCTGGGCACGGTGAGGCAGGCAGGTTGTGGCGTGCCGCAGAGGCGGTGCGGGGCTGCGGAGGTGCGGAGGGGCTGTTAGAGGGCGAGAGGAGCGTGTGCCCCCCCCCCGTCGTCTGGCACTGACTTGTGAGAGCTGATGGGAAGGGGCTGCTGAGTGACTTACCGGCTGTGCTTGATCTGTGGAGATAGGCTGCTTCTAAATATAAAAATGACATGCTAAAACAGATGCTGCAGCGTCCCACAACAGCAGCTTTGTACTTCAAAACCAGCTCTTTCTTTTCGGAGGCACTTTTACGGTGCGAGCGCAAAAACCCTTTGGTGATCCATCAAGGCAGTGCAGGATAAAAAGCAAGAGAATAACAACACCACGCAAGAAAAAGGATGGTATTTGGCAGCCTTGAACGTAACAGCTTTCATGACAATTGTTAGGTGCAACTGCTGCCTCTAGCCCTCTTTCAAGTGTACTTAAGAAAAAGAGAACAGTGTCACTGGTGAACAGCGAAGCATTTGTTTTTCTTCTTGGTGCTTGTCTTGGCATTAAGAAGGTTCCTCTGAGGCTCTTAGTGAAAGTTATGAATTTGCGTAGCATTTCGAGAGGCCTCAGCTATACCCAGGGAAAACACTTTGTGGGGCTGGTTTCACTAGATCTATCTCCCGAGCTTGAGGACGGTGGCTATAAGGAGTCTCAGCAGTGATTATTACCATGTATAAATTCAACAAGATTAAAGCTTTGGAAAGGTCAAAATTCCTTCCAAGTCTTTAATCCTAGCAGCATACAGTAAGTATAAGATACTTGTCAGCAATGAAGTCATGTTAGCCCAAGCCTACCTTTAGCAGGCTTAGGGAAATGACTGTCATTATGTGTTTGATAGAGAGTGAAAAGGAAGTCCAAATTTGCACACAAAGTAAAAGGACTAGTTCTTTGGTGAGCCTGATTAGGTGGCTTTGGATGGGGTGAGAGGAGGGAAGCTACCAACCTGTCTCTGTACCAGGTCCCCAGTCCGACAGTATCTCAGCACTTTGCTTATCTTTACTCGACACCCTTGGTGTGAAGTAGAAAGTGATGGTTACCCTACCTGAGACGGTGGAATCTGAGCTGTAGACCCAGTGGCCTTACTGCTTTGCTGTTAACGTGCTCCTTGGCACTGTGTTGGCCTATGCCAGCTGGAACGTGGTCACAGTTTGGGAAATTTTGCTTCCCCTTTGCTCTTCCCAGTCTTCCAACACTTTTTCAGTGGGCTTCACATTCTTGATGACCACCTTGAGCATTGCCCCAGAGCCTGCCATATGTGTCCTTATGCTGTAAAACATTTCATACTATAAAAACAATTTAGTGGACCAAGGCAAAGCTTTCACGTTTTTTTCCAGTCTTTTGAACTGACTCCCCCCATCCCAATCCCAGAAAATAATAGTTGTGTTTTAGGACCACAGGAGCACTGCACAAAGGTGACCCTGGGCCAAGTGTGATACGGTGTTGGACACAGTTTTCCCTCTTGACCTCCAGGCCAGTGACCTGACACTGTCCCTGTGTTATTTAACAGTGTGGAGGTAGCTCACTTGTTCAGAGTCACCTAATTGAGCCTCACAGCCAGGAGTGAGGTTTCTGCCCAGATTACTGTTGCCTATGGTCACAAGAATTTGGTTTTGTATTTGCCAGTGGGGTTTTTTTCAGTTTTTTGGAAAGTCGTAGCTGGGATATTTGCATGACTTTTTTAGTATCACCTGCCCTGGTGCTAGAAATACTGAAAGGTCCTGATGGCCACTTGTAGGTAGCTTGTGACTAGTTCCCAAAGAGGTCCCTGAAAGCAGGATACGCCGAATGCAGTGTTAAGTCTGAGACCACAGCAATGGGCTTGTGTCCCTGTGTTTGATTCCTGAATCCAGCCACTGTTACAGGCATGTTCAAGTATATGTACATCATCATATTTTCTGTGCAGGCTACATTTATTAGAAGTTGTCAGTAGCTGTAATTTTTGTGGTATGCTGACCAGTGCTACTGGGAAAATGCATCCTTGAATGTATCACAGAAAGGAGAAGCTGGAATCACAGCCATATTTGTTTTGTTATAGTGCCTTATCCATGGGTTCTTTGCAAGTACATGGTTTACATTAAATAAAAAAAAAAAGAAAATCTCTCCCTTCCAAATTTAAGCCTTAAATTGAGCTGTGGGAGTCACTTTCCACTAATTGAGAAGAGAGCTTTTTAATACTGGAGAGACAATTATATTCAATATGCACAAGCGATTAATAGTCACAGGGTGGCTTTGGGGCACCCACGCAGCAGTTCTGTTCTTCGTAACATTTTAACATTCAGGGTTCAGATCTGCTGCCGCAAGACTTCACGGAGGGCTCTGCTGGGATCCTCTTTGGCTTTTGGAGCTGATGTGATGTAGGTGGAAAAAGCTTAATTGGCTGACATTTTCACCCATTCTTGCTTGAAGGGAGACATGCTCCAGTTGGATACAGCTTGTTCCCACTGTGGGCTGTGAGATCCCCAGGATCCTACAGCCTGCTTGTTGGGATCCAGATTTTGTGAAATGGCCCCGTTGTGTTCTGCTTGCAGCTAAACATCTGCCTGCAGACTCCCTCCTCCTCCTCCTCCTCTTCCTGGTGGAGGTTCAGAGACAAATATAACCACATGCTCCCCTGCTGTTATAAGCCTTAATTGGAGTTTCAGGAGGGGAATTAGTGAATGGAAACCTTGAGATACGGTTTTGTGACACTTCCAAGGCTGTCTCGCCACCTCCTTATTCCATGTTCCCCCTCTGTGGGTAATTTCTGACTGCTCTTTTCTCTAGACCGTCAAATGGAGGGATACAGCCTAGCATAGAGCATGAACCTCTTTTGACATTTCGAACTCCACTACAAGGGCAGTCAGGTGAAGACATCTTGCATGTACAGAAGATGTTCTGGTCACGCGGCAAAATCTGCTTGCCAGGCCGTGGTGCAAGCAGCATGTCTGTTCATGGGTGCCTGCTGCGGATTGTCACGAGCCAACTCTACCTGCTGCTGCCTCCGGCCCAGCAGGTCCCACTCTTCCCCATCTGGTTTTTGTGGTGGTGGCAGTGGCCATCGAAGCCAGAGACCTCCATGGGCTTCCAGTGCTGGTATTTGCTTTGTGGGGAAGACATTAGGAGTAGTCCCTAGAAGGTGTGAAGGGTGGGCTGTCTTTTCTAGGGGAGCAATGGCATTTTATAAGCAGTGTTTAGAAGCACGGTCTGATTTCTATGTACATTAAAATCCAAGGAGACATGGTGGCCAAAGCATTTCTGCATGGTGAACCACTCACCTATGAGAAAGGTGGCTTGTTTCTCTCTGAGCTTTGTAGCCCAGTTTGTGATTTCCTCCGGAAAGCTGAATTCCAACGTTAGCATTACAGTGGTGCAGTCCGGGTTTTTTACATAGCTTTTAGAAGGAACAGAAAGAAGATGCCCCTCAACTCTGCAGGGAAAGCAAAGGATTTTTACAGCGTTTTCATTTCAGTGTTTGTTGTGAAGCTGAGTGGGGGGACAGCGAACAAACTTCCTGCACGACTGACTTGGAAACTGCACCTCTGTCAGCGCCAGCCCCAGACTATGTCCTTGGCGCGTTAAATCCCCTTTTGTCCGATTTTCAAGTT